CCCGGTCGGGCCGAAAACGCTAATACACTTTTCATCAATTTTCATGCTCACATTGCACTGTTGCATGACTGTCACAGATTTCCTAACTTGAATAGTCATCAACTTTAACGTTTAATATTTCAGTTCGTGGAGCACAGCATAACATTTTACTTTCAGATTTATTTCATGCAAAAATACGTCAAATAAGCGTAATTTCATTGAAATTGAAAGCGAGGACTTCTGAATAAATACTCAAATACCTAACCAAAGCAAAATCTCTACTGTAAAAATGAAAATTGTATAAAAAATTTGGTCATTATACAGTTTAGCACTAACTACCTCAAAAATCAATAAAATTAGGCTTATTCGACGCGTTTTTGCATGAAATGAAAGAATCTAGCCGTCCTGAACCAATAAGCGCTAGTCTATACACTATACTGTCTATATGACAGGTTAATGATCATGTTACATAGTAACACTTTAGTCAACTTTAATGCTCAATATCTCGCTTCGCATAGTCCTGGACTTTTTTCTGCTAGATTCTTTGAATGGGATTCTAATTTCATCGAAATCGGAGGTAGCTCTTCTGAAGAATTATCCTCATTTTATCTGTGTGACAGATTTTCTAACCTCAATAGTTATCAACTTTAACGCTTAATATCTCGGTTCTCAGGATAAAGTGACGCTTATTTCTATCAGATTCTTTCGTTTCATGTAAAAATGCGTCAAATAAGCCTAATTTTCTTGGTTTTTGAGATGCTGCAGCTAAACTGTATTACTTTTATTTTCGCAAAGATCTATTCACTGAAACAACCTTTCTAAAAGCAAATAAATTTCTTTACCCATATAAATAGGTGCCTTCCCTTGCTATCCTTGAAATAAAGAGCATGCACAGGAAGTTCCTCTAGACTAAGAGTAATTCTTGTCTCGCGATCTGACGAAATACTTCGTAAATGCGCAACTCGCGCTGTGATGGGTACAATCTCACCAATTGTTTGTATGGTCTGTATACAATTCTCTCTATAATCAGGTAAAGACGCGTATCGAGGAATATCCTCGATCAAAATCGGGATATACGGGATATCAGATTGTAAAAAATTTTCACGAACAGCCAAACACGACAACCAAGGAGAAGATTCCAAACACATCCGTTCGATCCGTTCCATGCCACTGATATCATCGACTATGATGGAAAAGAAACATGGGTTTCATTCAGCAGAGAAAGCAGCTTTGTAACTGTTCTAAAATTCTTTAATATGATTGGTCTTGCCCTTAAGCCCAGTTTCACCAATGCCGATCAAGCTTAATCGTAATTAACTGTCAACCGTAATTGGTCGATTCTACTAAACAGCAAACTCGATTGGTCACTCAACGGCCGATTAAGCTAACTGGCCCTCATGCTGGATTCACACTACATCAAATGTGCGTCGTACGACGCTCTGC